GGAATCCCAACAAGCTTATAAAAATAAAGGTAATCGCCACATTTTCCATCTAATTCACTGCAAATAACTTTGTTAATGGCAAACAAGCATGCTAGAGTAAGAGTTATGCCTATCATTTTTCATCTTGCTTGTTTCAGAGAATCATAGTGGTCATCAAATCATAGAGTCATTAAGGTTGGAAAAGACCTCTAAGGTCATCACGTCCAACCATCAACCTAACACTACCAAGACCATTAAACCATATCCTGAAGTACCACATTACACATTTTTTGAACCCTTTCAGGGATGGTGACTTCACCACCTCCCTACGTAGCCTGGTCCAACACCTCACCACTCTGTTAGGAAAGAAATTTTTCCTAATAAATTTAAACTTCCCAGGTGCAACTTAAGCCCATTTCCTCCCATCCTATCACTAGTTATTTGGGAGAAGAGACCAACACACACCTTACTCCAGCCTCCTTTCAAGGAGTTGTAGAGCACAATAAGGTCTCCCCTGAGCCTCACCCCAGGTCCCTCATCCGCTCCTCCTAAGACATGTTCCCCAGCTTTGCTGCCCTTCTCTGGACCCACTCCAGCACCAAAATGTCTTTCTTATACTGTGGTGCCCAAAATTAAACTGAGTACTCAATCTGGGGCCTCCCCAGTGCCAAGCCCAGGGGCACAATCAGTTCCCTACTCCTGCTGGACACACTAGTTTTGATTAAGGCCTGGATGCTGATGGCCTTCTTGGTCAACACTGACTGAAAAAATCTTAATGGAAATGGTTTATAAATAAGCTTTAAAGACATTGTAATTGTTTAAAATACTTTGTAACAGGTACATTCATCACGTGTGAGTAGTCTGCAGTTAAATAAACAGTGATGGTTTAGGTGCTAGGCAACAAAATGTGAATTTTAGTTAAACAGCTAAAATACACGGAAAAGGTCTGTACTTGCTGTCCATCTGATTGAGTTGCTAGGTCTTTAGTCTTCCAGACATCAGCAGGCATGATTTAGGCATTGCATTCATAGGCTGGTTGTAGTAGTAAGCATTTGACATAGCACTACATTAAAGAAAAAAATACTTTACATAGATAACTACCTTTTGAAAGGTCAGCTGAATTCCTCTGGTGTTTCAGCAGTTTGTGGTTGTTCCCTGGTTGTTTTGTTGCTGTTCGAATTACAGAATTTCCTGTCTTCCACTGTTTCTTAGAGGAACATAGATGTTTGTCCTGAGTGTGGAAACTTGAAACAGAAACACGTCCTGTGTGGCTATTGCTATGCAAAGGTCCAAGCAGAAACCCGCCTGATACAGAAGGAAATGCAGAAGAAGGAAGGAGGCCCCTTCAGTGCTCCGACTGTAGAGACTGTTGTCCTTTACGAGGGAGAGGAGCCCACAGAGAAGGATGAAGGCAAACGGATCATCGAAAGAGCCAGGAAGCGTCCGTCTTGGTTTGTTCAAAACTGACACTCCAGGGGGAATGCAAAGAAAAGCGGCTGCCACAGCAAGGAGGAGCACAAATGTTTTAAAAATGTTTTCCTCATTTTATTCGCTCAATGCTGATACAGAAAACTGAGGAACTTTGGGGAATCCTGCTTGCATTGTGTGCCATGCCATAGGATTTTCCAGCCTGGTGTTTCTGTGGAATGCAGCGAGAAATGCTCCTCAGTGATCTGTCACAGCAGCAAACAATTAAAGAGAAATCAGAGTCTACCTTGGGTTTGGATATCTGTGTACTGTACCCTGAATCATTTCTGCGCCAATGTCCAAGCTGGTTTGGTAAATTACTTTTTTTTTTTAACAAAGGGAAAACATTCAAAGATGTAAAATACAGTACGTTAAGTTTCCCAGGGAAAACTGCTATGTGGTTTTGGCAGCTGTGCTTTTGGAGGGAGTTGTGGGGGGGAAGAAATCCAATGTTGATTAGATACACACTATACTTCCAAGGAAAGATACAGTTTGCAGATTATTTCCATGGCTCTTTACAGAATCTGCCTGGGTCTCTCCAGCATGCTACTCTCTGAGATATTTGGGATATTCCTGGTTTTGAGCAAAAGAGTGGTTGCCATGTAGTATTTGCACTTTTTCTGTACCAGACTGCAGGTTAAGTGTTTTCTTGCTGTTGTCAGTACACAAAATAATTTTCTGTCCTAAAGGGATACGGAAAGCTTTTTTCCCCCCCACTAAGTGCACTTGTTTTCCTTACTGATACAACAAATTGAAATACAATGACTGGAAAGCATTACAGTGCCTCCCTCCACTGCCTTCAGAGCAGTTTTTAGCACCTCTCTGTCTTGCCAGAGGCTAGTGCCTGTTGGGGGATGTGACACACCCACTCGATGCCGGGCTCCTTGGCCCAGGTGTCCATGAGGCTGTTACAGGAATGAGTCCTGTCATCTGACTGTTCTTTCTGGGTTCCCGTGTCCCCAGAGGCCGCTTCCCCCATTGTGAGCACATGGTGCTTCCCATGGCGGGGCTGTGGCAGCTGTCATTGCATTGGAGGTGTTCCACTGTTAGTCTCCATTCACCCTTAGACTTTCCCCGTGGCCATATGGGGCTGTTGAAGGGTCACACCGTGGCTCTTCAGTTGACAAACCAGCTGCTGGAGTGAGCCAGCCATGCACCCACCATTTGTCCCTGGCTGACTTTCCAGGACATGACAGCTGGTGAGTTGGCTTGTGATGGTGGTGCGCTTCCTGGGAACTTTCACCCCGTGGGTGGGTGTGCTGGACTGCATCTGGATCTGTAAGTAACTGGCCAACATTCAGAGCACTACAAATCACCTCCAGCACAGCTAGTTCCCTTAGCTATGGGAGACCTTTCTCCTGCTGCTTTCAGTTGCTTGGCCTCCTTCCCCCCCAGTGACAAACTACCAGCCCCGTGACCCCAGCAGCAGAGCAGCCAGGTGATAATGCGCTCACTGGATGACGCCCCAAATCCTTCTGCATGTCTTGCCGCTCACTCGGGGACAGGGATCAGGATCCCTTTGGGCTCCTCATCTTGTTCTCTTGATGACTGCCTCATCACCATCCACTGCAAAGCCAACTGGTCTTTTCACAGATTTCCTTTCCTGTACTGAGGCAACTGATACCAGCAGAGGCTGGTTCTCTTGTTCAGCTGCGGCCCCTGCCACAGGGGTTTGAGTGGCCAGAGCGCTGGTCGCAGGGGCTGGGAGAGCTGCAGTGCCTGCCAGTCTGTTTTTAGGCTCAGAGGCCTTCTCAGCTGCTGAGCTCCAAGCTGGCGCTGGAGGCTGTGAGGAGAAGCAGAAAGGTCGAGGGCACGGGCCCTTGCACCTCCTGCCTTGGCAGCTGCCCAGAAGGACACCAGCCTGAAGGGCACGTGGACCCCGATTCTGAGCATCTTGCCCTGGAACCCATCTGCATCCTGGCAGAGCAGGCACCGGAGCTGGGTGAAGCCGTCCCGCAGAGCCTGCCCCTGCAGGAGAAACATCAGGGGCAGGAGTGAGGCCCTGGTGCTGCTGAGCCCCTGCTGTGGCCTAGGGTCAAGGGAAGGGCTCCCACCTGGATGCACACCCGGTGGAACCAGGCATGTTTACACGCCAGGCGGACAAGGGTTCCATAGGTCTTGGTGTCATCGAACTCCTCCAGGCAGATGATGCAGCTGGTGGTCCCCTCCTGGGCTGCCTCCACCAATTGTTCCGGGAGGCTGTCCCTGCAGAAGGCCTTGGGGAAGAGGAGAGGGCGGCGTTAGATGACAAGTTCTGGGTCCTTCCCTGGGGGTGGGGAGGAGGGGAGAGGAGGTACCTGTACGGTGGGAAGTACTGTGTGACGCAGCCCCTGGCTGTGGCACAGGGGAGGTGGAAGCTGCGTTCACAGCCCACCTCCCAGCAGGTGGTGGTGGCCCCACTCCTCCTGCAGACGAAGCAGTCCTGGAAAGGGCAGAGCAGCCGCCATCAGCGGCAACCTCAGGGCTCTGCAGCCAGCCCCAGGGCTCCGGACAGGGCGCAGGAAGTGGCGGGCGCCGGGCGGCACCGCCACGG